CCCCCCCCCCCCCACCCCGTTCCGCTGCCTTTGAAAGGAACTATCACATAAATTTTGGAATAGACAAATATGAAAATAAATCTATTTCACAACGGCAACATTAATCTAGAGGCCAGGTCAAACAGCTATCAAGTACCTCTACAAACCTCTTTTGGGTAAAACATTTGCAAGAAAGTGTGAAGTAAAATAATCCCTGAAGAATCTGGATCCAAACACGACTCCATAAAACTAACACTACATTTTGAAAAGCAAAAAAACACAAGGAATTAATTCGAAGTCGTACGGACAGAGGGAAAAAATTACGCGCAAAAAATGGCGACAAAAGCGGGATTCACACTCTACTATCTTATTCGTATACATAATTTTGCAATTTTTCAGGGGCAATATTTCGCGAGACTTTATCTTCGCAATATTTCGCGAGATTTTATTTTCGCGATTTTGATAAGTAAAAATAGAAAAAGGGCATTAAATTTCGCGAAAGCTTTCGGAACAACATTTTATTTTCTACATAAATCTGAACTACAACTTTCGGAACAAGTCAACATAAGGTATATACTGTTTGTTGTTTGTATACGGTAGTCCGTATAACGTTTTTGCTCATCTTTATTGCCGACAACAGGGCAAAATTATGATCATATTTTTCAAGAATTTTATGATTCACATTTTTGACTAGGGTATTTAATTTCGCGTGTGCAAATTCCGCGAGGCTTTTTATTCGCGCGATTTTAATTTCGCGTTTTTTTTACAATCGCGAAAATAAAGCCGCGCGAAATTAAGTGCGAATAAAGTACTGTATCAATAGCTTACTTACTAGTCTGGGTCTGACTCTAGTTCCAGTGCTTCTAATACATCTTTTAATTTGTTTCGTTCAATAAAGCCATTCTCTGTAATGAATATTAGGTGGGAAATAAGTAATATAACATTCATGTGCCTGCGTTAAATTACATTTATTTATGAAGACTGAGATGAATTATAAATTTTGCTACCTTGAGTGTCAAATGCCTGAAATATTCTTATGGCGTTATCGACAGGTCGTTTACGATCGACGTTCTCCTATTATGAAAGAAGACGAGTTTTGTGTTAGTTACTACCGCTGTATCATCGTAATATGCAACAGATAAGCCAATGATATTGTTCAATTGTTTTGATATTGTTCGATTTTTTTTATCGGGCGGCTTAAATCACATCGCGTACGCAAGGCTGGTTTTTGACTAGGCAAATTTCTTCGTGGGAAGGGACTTTTTCCTCCCAATTGTCGGTATCGCTAATCACGACAGCAAAAACGACGCCGACAAAGGAAAAAGTCGCTTCGATCGCGCAAAAAATCTTGTAATTGAATTTTTCAAGTACAACAGACCGTGATTTTTCTGTGTTGGTGTAATGTACTCAGGTGAATATGATGCTTGTGATGTTACTCTGAGTGTATATCCACACCGGGCAAGCTTGAAAAATATGCCTGACCACGGTGGGAATCGAACCTACGACCTTTGGAATACTAGCCCAATGCTCTGTCAACTGAGCGGTCTGGTCGGTTCGAGTATGTGATATTTCGGAACAGAATCTAGTTCCTTCGATATCAATGTTATCTAATAATAATCATGATTTTTCTGTGTTGGTGTAATGTACTCAGGTGAATATGATGCTTGTGATGTTACTCTGAGTACATTACACCATGTTCACTAGACGCCTACCTTAGTGAACAGAACTGTTATATGAGTCTCGCTGGCAAGTAACCATATTGGATCTTTTGGACATTTAAAGAAACTGCCAACCTTAAACAAAAAGTAGGACAACTGAAAATATCATCAAATTATACCTAAATTTTATTTTCCTGCATCATTTTCATTTCACCAAGCTACTGTATGTTACGTGGCCTAGATAGAAACTGTGACTAAACCCATATATTTAAATACCTCACAATAACGCATCGACTCCAGTAAGGATAGGAAACCAATATTTGATTGTTTTGGGATTCCCTTTAATTCTATTAAAAAGTTAACTTTCAGAAAAATTGTATACTACAGAATTATCCGTCACTGGTGGAACGTTTTTCAAACACACAGAGATTTATTATATATATAACTAAAAACAAGTACAGTATATTATAAATATACAGTAAGTGTTATGACATACTTAGTCCACCAATATCTCGTTCCATGTCCCAAATATGAGACACGGCGTATCCAGTTAGCATTAGATTCACCAGACTTTGGCTTAAAATTAGAGAACACTGTAATTCAGAGTATGTTATTAGACTATGGGTCAGCTGAAATATATATGAACTGTAATCAGTTATTAATAATAGAAGTTGCTACGACAATATTTAGGCGTAATATAAAAATAATCTCATATCACATACCCACCGTGTCCATGAACTGGGTCGATAAGAGGACTCGCGAGAGTTTCATCCATCTCTGATTTAACATTTTCTATACCCTACACGAAGTAAAAAATATTGATTTGATAATTAATTTTCTTGTGAAGAGTCCGAGTTTAAATCCCATGATAATTTTGTCTCGGCAAACCCAAATCCACTATATTTATTCCCGCACGAACAATTTTGACTAATTGGCGCGTCCGTAACCGTACAGTATATCAAAGGGACACCAGAGGCGGTCTGAAAGTTTGTTGGGGATCGGTCAGGAGTAAAATTCTGACCCAAGTATCAGTGTATAAATAGTATATGTCATACATAATATGTTATTTACTGGCTGGCAAGTTCGTAGTGAAAAAATATTTTCCCGAGGTCTAGGGACGCTTATATGAAGTCTCAGACGCGGCCCAAGGTCTAATGGTTCGATAATTTGGTTATCAAAACTAACAACTTATAACTCATCACTTCAACTTACAACTCGTTATTACAACTTACAATTATTACTCGTCATAATCGTCATTACAACGTATAGTATATATAACTCATTACAACTTACAACACGTCATTACGACTATAACTCATCATTACGACTTATGGAGAGGACTGACAATTTTTTTACCAATAATACAATAAAGTTCGTATTGGGAATTTATTTTTTCATGTTATAAATGCAACACGACACTAACTTTGATCAAGTAATTGTATCTCTCGAATTCTTTTTTTATATGAACGAGTAAGGGACCGGTCATTATTTATGGCGGGGGGTGGCACCGAAGAGAAAAGGGTTGGGTAAACAAAATTTTGAGTAAGTAAAAGGTTGGGTAAATGAAAAACAAAACAACTCAAGGGTTGGGTAATAAAAAATTATTGTCATTTCCAAAGCATGACTCACTGAAGTATTGGGGACTAAAAAGCAATGGCAACAGTGGGCCCTACTCTGGGGCGATAACGAGATAATGCGAGTTTTAAGCAATTTTAGGTGATTTAAATTAACGAAAATCTGCAATTTTTAAGCAATGCGAGTTTGAGCGATATATGGCGATTTATGAAAACAATTAAAATTTTAGAGAATGCTGTTTTTGGTGTTTAGAGGTAATTTCAGAAATATACAACTATATCCCTGATGACTCCAATGAAATTACCATTAACATATGCCAAGCATCCAAACATGAGTGTCCCACAAACACACACAAGTCCAGTGTATAAAGCAAAATATACAATTTGAGAAGAAAAGTTGAAGTCCGCTTGAGGGGGTTCTGGAAACAAACAATACACTGTATGCGCATGACGATCAAGTGTTTAAAGGGTAAATAAGCTCAATATTCACGACTTTTTTAATCCATTGTCTATTTCAAAGCCATTGGGGGTATTATTAAATTCATGACACAACTATAATACATGACCACATGTCTACATCATATCACATATGCAATTTTTCAAAGGAGTAGGGTACAGAATTGCAATATAACAACATATAAGTAAATTATACATGTCATGAACTTACCAGTTTGTGTTGAGTTAAATGAAAAAATTTTTACAGACTCTTTTAATACAGTATGACATCAAATATTATTTATTAATTTGCAAATCAAAACATTTTAAAATTCTCGTGTTTGTATTGCGCCCGCGATATATTAATGGTATTAACCGCTGTGAATATGATTATTAATACATATTTAATACATTAAAATTTGCGCTCAAAAGTTCAGGAAGTGAGTTTCTAGGAAGTGAGTTTCTAGAAAGGATGAAAACTCCGTTTTATGTATGGAATGCATGAAAAAGGTAATCGTTGTTTACCGTTTATTTTGTATTCAGGTATGGGGAATTTAAGTGATGAGAGTTGCAAAACTTGCAAATGTAGTCTGACTAGTCTCTTTGACGTCATCATGCAACTATTTAATATTGTGCTACATTCATTATTCAATTTATTTGCAGCAATTAGCCTTCTATAAACCATACAAATGATTATAGCATGTAGCCCACCTTGCTTTTAACATTGATCCTATATATAATGGATTAACATAACTAACTTGATTATGTTTAGGGGTGCACCGGATTTCAAATCCGGCCGGAATTCCGGCCGGATTTAACGAAGTTTCCGGCATCCGGTATCCGGCCGGATTTGGAGAAAATCCGGCCGGATTTAAATTTCTGTTTTCACCTTAAAAAATGGGATAAACCATCAATTTGGCAGCTCTAAAGTTTAAAAAACACTTATATTATTATAAAATATTAAGTTATTAACAACAAAATATTTAAAAAAGGTTTAAACACAATCAAAAATCTAAACTGACACTAACTAAAAATAGTAAAAAACATAAACCGCCATTTTGAATACTGATTTATCCACAATTGTCCCCATTACCGGTTTATTTTATTCCGGCCGGAATTTTTGTCCAAATCCGGTAAATCCGGTTCCGGCCGGATTTGAAAATTCCAAATCCGGTGCACCCCTAATTATGTTGCTTGTCGAGTATGGGACCTACAGTATGGGTCTTCTAGATCCTAGAGTAGCACAATTAATATAAAGTCTCCATATTAAAGGCGGTAATATTAAAGACTGTTCTTATTTATGCATGACCTTTGACTATCAAGTGGCCAAAAATTGTGCCTACAGTAGTCAACTTATTCCACTATCCAGGTTGCATCACGTTTGATTGCAAAACACCTGGGTTTATTATACATGGATTTGCTAGCAAAATAGCAGCAATTGATGAACTTGGTATTATACTAAGATTTACTAAATGTGTAAAAAAACAACGATATATATATATATATATATATATATATATATATATATATATATATATATATATATATATATATATATATATATTAAAATTAATTATTGCTACTTAAGTTTCACGCCTTATT